TATTTTCTTTAATCTACTGAGTTTATTTTTCTTTAAAAAATTACTAAAATATACGCGATGAAATACATATTTAACCATCTGATTGGTTCAAATAGAATTGATTATTGGCTTGGGGGGTTTATCGGTGATGCCCTATGGCGCATCTGATCGATTCAAACAACAAAATCAATAAATTATGCAAAATGCGCTAAAACATGTACAGTAGGCCTGATCATTTAAAATAATTTCTCGCACGGGGATGATGCAGGACACAAATTTGATTTGCGCCGCGTGAGATTGGACGATTTCTTTATTTTTTTCTAGATATGTCAATACATGTCTAATGTATCAGTAGGACAGCTTAAACGAAGTGTATAAAAAAATCTATGCAAAATGATCAGGCCTAATGTACAGTATGCTAATATACAGTACTGTACTGTAAATAATACGGTGAAATTGGCTTTTGCAATTACCGCGAATAAATAAATCTCAATGCCAGTCTCTGGAAAAGATTGGCTTATGCTTGCCAACACCGCTTTTTAATCATGGTCAGCTCTATGTTGCTCTATGAAGAGTACGTAGAGGTCCTTCCGCAATCGTAGCAATGTCTACATCTGTTCAAAATATCGTTTATAGGGATATCTTCATGCAATACAGCAGTAGAACAGAAGACAATCTTTTACTTAGAATTTGGTCATTATTTATTCGCCATGCAATTATAGCATTCCTAAATTTATTTTGGTTTTCCATGCTTCTACTATATACAGTACAGTACTGTACTAGATTAAGATCACATGCTACAAATGTTCACGTGTATTTGGATATGGTATTCAAGTTATGTTCGTACTAGAGCTGATTTGTTGTCACAGTTCTTATGTCTCGTTAACGTGTGTATGATATCGCGCTTGGCTTGGGCTTCCAAATAAAAGTAGACTAAAGGAAAGGAAAGCTCAAAATCCCAGATTCTTGATCTCGTTACAATCATAATATAAAAATATCGGGGAGATTCAACACTTCTTTGTGGCTCCTTCTTGATCGTATCCAGTTTTTGATCACAATGCTTTACGATTTTCTTAAAAGCATCCCAAACTTTTTGTTTCGCTCTGTCTTCTGTCAATCCCAAAAGATCTGTTTTTGTTATACCAAAGACGGAATAGTTTACCATATCGACTGGGTTGTGAAAAAGTGTAATCAGTACTTTCAGCAATGTGCTTAATTCCTCTAGTCCCGCACGGAGTATACCACTAATTTCTATTAATATTACGACAGCTTTAACCTGACGGGCATTTCGAACCGCCAGGGGACTACTAATTGCAGTCACAACAGCATCGTCTGGATCTCTATTATCCAAAAAACCTGGACAATCTGTGAAAACCCAAGGATAGTGATTGCTTATAACTGGCTTCGCATATGAAGTTTCTGAATCCATTTCATGACCGACCTTAAAGGTTGCAGAATCTATGGCATCTACAGCCCCGTTATCTTCATTTTTCATTTCATTTCATTGTGTAACATATAATTTAAGAGTGTACTTTTCCCAACGCCGGTCGTGCCGATCGTTGTGTTTCCACTCTTAGTCGTTAACGTTAGCACGAGGAACTTTGATACACTCCTCCTAGTAAGCTTACTGAAAGTCTCTTTTATTTATTTTTTCGCTTGGCGTGTTTGCTCAAAGCCTTTCTCTACCTTCTCCTGGATATAAGTGACATTCAACATAACTTGTTTCTTGATAAAATAGAATACTTTCTTAGAAAAGGCTAAGAAAAAGTGATTTACTGGCTCCGATGCGATAAGTCCCCTTAATGGCAATACTTCAATTTAATGATTACTTAACGGTTGAATATAGAATAATCGCGCAAGTAACGTTGTCTTGCCTTGATAAATCTACTCGTTCTCGTTTATACTTCGTAATACCACATATTAACAGTTGATGATGCATTAAAGGGGAGGTCGAAACATTGGATCGGGAACTTCTAGAAAATAGATTTTTTAATTTGTTTACCCTAGCAAGGATTACTTTTTCTTATATAATCAATCAATTTAGTGCTAATAGCAGCCACAACAGAATTCTCATATGATGTGTATACTGGAAAACTTGATAAATCTGCAAAAACCCAAGGATAGTACTTACTTACAATCGGTTTAGCAAATAAAGTTTCTATTCCATGACCGATCTGAATGGTAGCAGGGCCCATAATATCTATAACCCCGAAATCGCTCTCTAGCATTTCATGGCCTAACATGTAATTGGGAAAAGGACTTTTACCCATGTCGGCATGACCAATTGTCAACACCAAATCTCAAAACTATCCTCCATAGAACTAATATCTTCTGTTGTTTCATCTGTTGTAAACCTTTTAAGGCGCTCAGTGATTTTATCTAGCTGACGTTGCTTCGTAAAAAGTTCTTCTCGCTCTTGAATAATTTTCTTTAACATTTCTATCTCTTCCTCTACGCTTTGTTTTAATCTGTTGAGTTCTTGTGGATCATTCGATGACATACTAAGCACTTGATCCACTTGAGAAATCTTTTCTTCCTCAGTGGATGTAGGCAAAGCTGATTCATTCAGTTGGGCCCAATCACCGTAAAGAATACGCTCTTTCTTACCAGTCGTTGGATGAGTAAACTCAAACACACTGCCTACGCTATTCATAGGAAATTGCTCCATTAATGAAGATAATTCAAATCCTGTTCCTGCCTTCGTTACCACCAGTGTCCTAATCCATTTACCAGTTATAGGATCTTTTTTGTTAATAGCACCATCGTCTAACTCATCTGCTGTATTATCCTGAGAAAGTTGACTCAAATCCGTTTCATTTAAGTCTAACTGAAAATATCTTTTAGTTACATCAAAGTTCGCTTTAAAGGTTTTATAGCGCTTAATAAATTTGTATACCAAAGTGCTCGGAAACCGTAGCAACTCGTTGATACTTTGCACAATCTCAAATTTTTCAGGCATTTTCAAAGTATCAGAATCACCGTAAAAATTTTCCAATAATTCTAAACCTTTTGCTTTACTCTTTTCCATACGTCTCCGATTTTCTGCCATCCGCGCAGACAATTGGTCAATATCTCCATCACACTGCCGTAGTTTATTTGTGCGATCTTTCTCTACTTCTTCCTGGACTACATTTTTCACGGATGTTATATTGGATGAAATGCGTTCCTTAGATTTCTTAAGCTCAAGCACGTTATCATTTAACTCGTCGAAAGACTCTTTGCATCGACTAATTTCTTCTCGAAGATCTTGAATACGCCTACGATTACCTGTATCATGCTTAGAAGCAATGTAAACCGTCATAGTAGCATCCCCTTTTCCACCAGTCAGATTGATACCACGTTTTATATCGGCCTCTCCGCCTTTCATCTGTTGTATTGCACCAGCAACCATTACCTATTCGTTGATCGATATCAACAATTGGTGTCCGTTCATCTTCAGTATCAAAATCAAAAAGGACTTCATGATAGGTCCAATATTGCTCCTTTTTGATATACTTCTTTTCAGCAAATATCACGGGCTTATCAGTATTAATTTCATTCAATTCTTGTTTAAATTTTTTTAAATGATCATTAACAGACTGCATCTTTCTTTTTTCAGACTGGATAGATTGTTCATTTTCTTCAAGCATTTCTGACCAAGTGTTTATTAATTTTGTTGGGACTTCAGAAGCAGAAATATAACTGTCCAACTCCGATCTCAATCTTTTCATCGACGTCATTCTCTTTTTGTTATCATTCCACAAATCAATCGCACGTTTAAGCTGATCTACAGCTCCTGTAATTGCACCGATTAGCTGATTACCTTCACCAGCCAAATCGTAAATTGCCTTATTAAAGCTTGTTCTATTGATATCATAATCTTCAAAATTGAAGTCTGCGATCGTAATTAGCGGTAACGGCAGTGCATCTTGTTGAGCATTACTAGTAGATGTTGATATTGGAGGTGGAGAAGTATCATATGGTAACTGATCAGTTTGAGCTTCAGTTCTCGATCTAATGGCACAAATACGATCGGTTACGAGCTGTTTTGAATCACCATCATCAAGAATATCAATAAACATGATATCATCTTTACGACCAAGTACTGCACTAGTAAACTCTTCCATCACTTTATATTCACTGATAATCAAATCTGTTCCATCTCTTTCTCTCTTCTCTGTCTCAAGAGTTTTTATTCTTCTACGACATTCTTCTTTAATTTTATTCAAACCTTGTAACGTTATTTTCTTAGCCCTTGTTTTTCCTCCCTTTATTTGATCTAGTTTTGTCACACCAATTACAGAATACTTTAACATTTCAACTGGATCTCGAAATAATTTAATCAATATCTTCATCAACGGACCCAAAGCAGTCAATCTACTACTTAAAAACTCAGTCGCATCCATCAGTATAACAATCCCCTTGACTTGTTTTGCAATGCGAATAGTTAATTCCATGCTAATGGAAGTCACAATCGTATCATTGGTCATTCTATTATCCAGAAATCCCGGACAGTCGGTAAAAACCCAAGGATAATTTTTATCCGCAATCGGATGTGTATACAAAGTTTGTGAATGCATATTATGCCCAATATGTGCGGGACACTCTCTCTCTACCGTCTCCACCGTATCAGATTCTTCA